ATCTAACTAGTGTTGATGTTGGAATAATTCAGAACTTATACTGGTAGCAAACTGCCTGTATATGGATAGGAAATGAATTGAATAGGCATGCAAAAATAGAAATGGGCATAAAATAAGAATGTGTCTTCTCACTGGATTTATTCAATTTCTACAGTAAAACTATCCTAAGGAAGTTTACCAGGATTTATTACATCAGTGGGTGTATCTTAACAAGATATGCAAATGACAGATAGAGAAAGAAAACTACTGGACTTCCTAGACAGAGTAGTGAAGGAAAGTGTGAAGAGTCTAATCAACTGTAAGAAAACAAAGTATGGTTATCAACAAAAGAAAAAGCCCAAGATACAGACTATGAATTGGAGATAACACCAAACATGTACACAAGTTTAAATATCTGGAAAGTGTTTTAAAAAAGCATAAGAAATGCAACACCAAAATCTGAACATGCATTGTATTAGCAAAAGTTGCATTCAAAAAATGAAACAAGTGCTAAGAAACAGAAAAATGTTATTAGAAACAAAGAAAAGGGTGCTGAACTGATATGTAATAATCAATCTTCTTATATGGCAGTGAATGCTGGACAATCTCACAGATGAAGAGAAAACTGGAAATGTAATTATATAGAAGGATGCTGAGAATTGCATGGATGGAGTACGTAAGCAAAAAAGACAATTCATGGAAACAAAAAGGTCACTGATACGCAGAATCAGAAAGAAGCAACTGAAATTTCTTTGCCATATAAAGGGGGGAAAAGGGCTTAGAGAATTTGATACTCACAAGGTATATTGATGGCAAGAAGAACTGGGGAAGGTGGCAAGTCACATACCTGACGAGCATGTGTGAATGGACGGCAGAATGGAGGGGGGGGGTAGATGAAGGCAGAAGGTTTGGCAAAAGGACAAACATTGCTAAAGATTACAAGGAATAGAAGGTTGTGGAGAGCCATGATCACCCACGTCTTGAAAGGACATGGCAAAAAGAATATACATTTTTTTTCATTGTTTTAAAAAGAAAACATTTTACATTTGCTGAATGATATTCTAATTTTGACCATTACAATTTGTATTCTCACAGATCTAATGTGGTACCCAAAAGTGACACATTTGAACAGTATGTATGAATCAAATTATGTACAGACAGTGGCTGCTACTGTGTTTACACTCAAGAAGACTGCACACAATTGTAGAAACTAGTTGGAGTGAGTAAAATGTTTTTCATGGTAAAATTGCTCCAAATTTTTGGCAGTATCTTATAGAGAAAACTATGAATAAAGATGCCATTTCAATTATTTCTGATAAACTTGCTTATAAAGTCAGACTAAATTAAAAGGAGAATCAATGTCTTTTACTCGGAAATTATTTAAAGACTGCTACTGAGATACCTTTTGAAACTAAACTACTGAATATTTTATTCATTTCTTAACTAGATTTAACATCTATATTTGTGCTGAAAACAGTTTCCATAAACATTTGTTGCTTTGGGTGAATGACTGGCTGTAAAAGTCAGCAGATTTTTCCACTGGTACACTTAGATTTAAATTTAATTTATGCAAATGAATGTTGACAAGTTGTTTATGACTATTTAATAATGGTAATGGTGAAATTAACTATTTTCATATAGGAAACATTCAGCAATCATTGATTGATTGAACATTTAGCAGTTGAGATTTATAAAATCTTTCTCTTAAAACAGTTTTTTTAGGAAAACAGACTTCCCAAGTCCACTCTTATTGTTCTTTGTGGAGTTGATGGGTGTTTCTTTCCTAACATTTTTGTTTAAGGTGGTGCAGAATATCAAAATCTTAATCATATTATTTTCCCATCTAGTTCCATTTGCTACCCATTTTAGTCGATGCTGCTGTTGGAAGTCTTCAAGTGATATGGTTTTTGGTATTTAGTAGAAATGTTTCTTTGTGATTCTGTGGCACCATTCTATAGGTTCTGAGGAAGGATTATCTTCTTTAATACTGAGAAGATTCATTTGCTTGAAGCCATTTTTAAGTATTGATCTGAGAAGATGGTTGCATATAGATAATAGTTTAGGCATATCTGAATGAGTTGGACACCATGCATGACATCCATATGAAGGTCTAGATCAGACAAGGCTATTTCAGAACATGACTTGAATTCTCTAAGCTAAAGAGTCATTATACAAATGTCTTTTTAGGAGAGCATATATTTGACAAAATCAATAATATTTTCTTAAATCATAAAAATGCATCTTTAAAATGAAGCAACATCTTGACTGTAAGTGAATTCATACTGCCTAGAAATACCTGCAAAAATTTCATGATTTTCCTATTTAAAGTTTCTAATTAATCTTTATTCTTAAGGTGATGATTGAATAAGCTCATGGTGAGTTCTACAACAATAAAATATTCATGGAAATTCCTCTATTGCATTGTTAAATATTTGAGCTTAACAATTTTAAGAAATATTGCAACAACAATAATAATTATGAATGCTGGTTGTTATTTTAAGAAGTAAGGGGGTACAAATGAAAAGATTTGAAATTGGTTTCAGTGAAATGGAAAAAAAATGTCAAATGTTAAACACTTCTATCTTCTCTCTGCTTTCATTTTTTTTTTTAACCAAAACCAAGTAGCATCACTGATATGTCTTTTCTATCTTTCCATGTGATCAAAATGGAATAGTCCATTATTTATGTGGTTTGGCAGGATGTAACCATAGTGCTGACTAATGGAGGAACAATCATAACTAAACTGCACAATTATAATAAAGAATAAAAAGTAACAAAAAGGCCTGTTTGCAATATTTCAATATTGTTTATAATTTCTATCTGAATTATTATTTAATCTTTAATCACTGTCATTCCAATGTTTCAGCCTAGTGGATTAAAGACAAGATATCCCTAGATATGAGCAACAAAATGAGAAAAGTCTCTTCTATAGATTGAATAAAGAGCTCAGTTTGAAATTCTCTGAACATTACTTGGATTAACAAGCACCTGAAGAAGGCTGGAGAGCACAACAGACAAAATGTGTTAACAACATCAAAGAGGAGGACAAGAATTGAAACGTAAATAATTAGTGTTTTCATTCACAAACAAAACACATTCTTAACTTGGTCATTATGGAATACACCTACAGACTAAAATCAAATTGATGGTACTCATTGTTACATGTGGTGAGATGGAGGAAATTGTGAGTATCTTTACTAACAATACTATCTTGTATGAGAAAATTCCTTAGAAAAATATCTAATAACATTTACAGAAAATGGCACCTATCCTGAATCAATCATAAAAAAAATTTAGGATGTGGAATTAGTAAATACAAAACACTTTAAATATGTTGGTGTATGGATCCGCTATAATTTAGTATATGAGATAAAGAAATTGAACATAGAATAGTTATAGTTAGTTTTGCCCAACACAACAAATTACTCCAAAACCCAAATAAGTCATGTTCTTAAATAGCCTGAGATCAAAACTTTCATATGGATACCATGCATGCTACAAAACTCTTCAAAAATATCTAAAAACTGTTTACAACGACTTTCTCAAATTAAGAGTTAAAAATAGCTTCAAGCCAATGAAGCCTGTAGGTCTTAGTGAAAACCATTCTTCTTTGAACTTTGTAGACTGCCACTGCAAAATCAAAGAATTGTACTAAACAACAGAAACCACATCACTTGAGGACTTTCAACTGCAGCAACAACTAAAATGGGTAGCACATGTGACACTGAAAGAAAATGATATAGTCAAGATGATGACATTCCCAACTATTGCAAATAAAAGGTTAGGAAGGAAGCCTCCATCAATACTAAAAAGAGCAATAAGTTAGTGGACTTGAGAAACCTATTTTCCTGAAAAAATGCTTTAAGAGGAAAAGTTTATAAATTTCAATCAAAAGCAGTGGCTACTTGGTCAATGAATGCCAAATGTTTCTTTATTAAGGAAATATCTAATATTGCAATTATCTTTACATTTTCAAACCTTTCTCTATTTTCACAAGAATTATCTGTCCATCTTAAAAGAGGGAAAAATAAAATATGACAACAGCAATCTCTCAGTTTGTCCCCTCCAAAGTCTTCAGTCAGTTTTTATATGTCTAGTCCCATCTGGATTTTGTTTCATGGTCATTTTGTTTTTGAAACAGCCAACTTAGAGAATTTTTACTTTAAGATGATGGTTATTTACTTAGTTTAGTTTTGGCACAAGGCATAGAGGCACCCAATGAAGGGCTGAACTTGTTATTCACTTGTAAAGCCGCATGTTAACTACTTCACCATAATGCATAATTTTGTGTAAGTTTACCACATCACTTGATGAATTTCAACAGCAGCAGCAACAATTAGAATGTATAGCACATGTAACTAAAAAAATAATGATGATATAAACAAGATGTTGACATTTCCCACTACCACAAACAAAAGGCAAAGAAGGAACCCCTACCCATCAACATCAGAAAGAGCAAAAACAATGTACTTGGCTGCTCAGTCAATGAATGCCAAATGTTTCCTTATAAGAAAACAGCTAATATTATCATTAACATTAGAGATGAGGAGAACAGCTGCTACACTTTGATCCCTGGCCAATAACCAGAGACTGAAGAAAAATGTAACTGGCTGCACAAGTCAATGAACGTCAAATGATTTTTCTAAGGAAATGGCTTTTATTATCATTATGTGCCATGCATGATACACACTTATGATATCATGTATCATTTGATACATGATTGATGAGGCAGATTTTTTCCTGCAGTAGGTTGCCATTTCTTTATGCAGTAGACCAGTTACCATCCAAGGCTCTAGAACCTGGTATTTACCCATAGATGGGGGGGGAGAGAAGAGGATTCATACCTTTCCCAAGGGTATTAGCACGTAAGTGAATGTAATGGATTTGACTGGAATTTGAACTTGTCTCTCCAGTTCCTCAGTCCAAGCTGCTATCCATTACTCCACTGTGCCTTCTTATTATCATTAGCATTTTCATAATAGTAAACAGAGTAAAGAGACAAATGGAAAAGGTTCACTTACGTATTACTTGACTTTGTTGTTTTGCCAGTAACATTTTCCAGGCTTTGGAGTGCTTGGTCTCGCTCAGTTTTCATCAATTGATATTGCCGGAGGGCAGTGTCACGTTCCTCCACAGCTTTTGCATTTTCTCTTAGGACAGCGTCTCTCTCTTTGAGAGCAAGTTCGAATCCTAGCTGAAGGGCCTGAGAAGGTGGGCAATCATTTGGCAGGGGATCTGCAGAAAGAAAAAAAAAAAAAGAGAGAAAAAAAATTAAGATCTTCATATTCAATTTACATAAAGGGGAAAAAATCAATGAAGAATAAAAAGATTTTGAACATCAATTCATTTTGTTTATTCATGAGTGAACAGGATCAGAGATGATCAACAGTAGAAGATCCAAAATGAAAAAGAATGCACTTGATAGATTTTAAATTTGAAAACAGTTTCTGGCAAAAACGTCATGGATCATGAAGCACTCAAACTATTGATGAGCTATTGAACCAAGAATATTCACAAATGCAGAAAAAAAAAGATAAACATCTTTTTTAAAAAAAAAAAAAAGCAATGCCCTGAATGAAATAAATATTCCACATGACTAACAGCTTACTATCTTAGTTTTCCCAAATATTTTAAAGTTTGAAAAAAGACAAAATTACTTAACAGTGAAATTTCAATTACTATGATTTATCAGAGGATCACAAAAGAATTTTTAACCTTATGATTGAAAATTAAACAACCAGAAATATACCTTTATTGAGTAAGATTTTAGTGATTATGTGCACATTCAATTTTTGCAGGATATCATCTAAAACCTGATATCATGAAATGAAAAGTGCAAATCTAATTACATTTTTAGCCTATTAACTCAAAAAGTTCAAAATTAAATCCACCAAGTCACTTTACTAACTTTGCATTATCCACACTTAATCTAAATTATTTCTGATCGACTAAGAATGAATTGTAAAACTCAACTGTTTTTCCTGACAAGCGTGTCATCCATCAAATAAAATAGATAAAGAAATTATCGTGCTTCAAAACAAAAGAAAGCATCTTTCATAAATATAAGTGGATTTTAAATGGACTTAATGGCTTCAATAATGGATTGGTCACTGAGTCTAATTCTAACTGTTCATAAAACTCAACAACAATGTGAATATAAACATAATTAGGCTCAAACTTTATGGAAATAAATTAACATTTTAATATCCATAAAAATTATGTGATATAAAAGTTATACTTTGGAGCATATAAATTTACTAACATCAGTCTGGTTATATATATATATACACACACACACACACACACACACACACACACAGATTGTCTCAAAAAATGTATACATATTTTGAAGCTTTCTCAAGAAATAATTCAAGCAGTTCGAACAAACTATCTAATTTAAATAATGCATATGACGACAGCATTTATTATAAATGCAGACTCTTAAGATTTTGTCATGGCATGTTTTTAAATTGCTGTCCATTATGATCCAGACATTGCTGACAACATGACACAATGGAATCCCAAGCAGCAATCAACATTTCGACAGGTATTTGGCTCTATGGAAACTTTCATTTTAGTGATTGTTGCTGGCTTTGTAATATAGACTTTATCTTTTAAGTATCCCCACAAGAAAAAGTTGTAAGGGGGTGTAGTCTGGTAAACAAGGAGGATATTCTACAGAACCTTGTCATCCGATCCATCTGTTTGGCAAGATTTCATTCTGGTATGACCATACATCACAATAGTAGTGTGGTGATGCTCCATCTTACTGAAAATAAAATTTCTCATCTTCCAATACACACATACACATACATATTTATGGGTTATCAACCTTGTGCAGGTTATTTAAAAAGCCAGAACATTTTAATATTATAAGATTTTTTTATATGTATTTACTAATACAAGTCCTACTAATTAATCCATAGATAAGGGAAAAGAATTGGATTTATACCTTTCCCAAGTGCATTTGTGCATAAGTGAATTTAATGAACCTGACTGGAATTGAAAATCAGCCCTCCAATTTCTCACACATCCAAGCTTACAGTACCTAATATTCCTAAGTGGTCACCCATCTAGGTACTGACTAGGCTCAACATGCTTAACTTCATTGATCATATGAGAACTGTGTTTCTATGTGATATAATTATATATATTTATTACTTAAACATTATTTTTGAGTGGATACCCATATTTGATTAGATGTTCTGTTTACTTATGAAACTGTATATCTATTTATTTTCATCTACCTGCATGAATCCTGTTCAAATCTTGCTAAAAAGTGCATACTTTTCTAATAAGATTTCCTGAATGTTCAGGCTGGTAGATGAAAATGAATAAATATACTGTTTAATAAACTTAACATTTTTAGTAAAAATCAAATTATGGAGTATAATAATAATTTTAAGAAGAATCCAAGCGAATGATTCCATTTGACATAACCTCATTGGGAGATCATGTCTGTGATATTCATGTCTCATCAAAATAAACTTTCATTATAAAGCCAACAAATATGAATTTTTCTCTGTCAGTTGTAGTGAAAAATGTCATACAAAGTTAATTTATTTGGTTTGGGAATGCTGAAAAAAATTTCCTATATATATATTATAGTAATTGCTTCACAGCATTTCAGCTTACAAAAGATTTAAGATGTTATGGGGAGGGGACCTGTAATTTGAAAAATCATTTGTTATCCAGTAAAAGAAATTAATTTGGTGATGAACTTTGTTTTCAAGAGATACACAACCCAAATTTTATAGAATATTCACATCCATATTTCTGCAATGTAAAAATGATACCTAAATCATTAGTTCATATCCAACATTATTCAAACACTCCTGTCTATTTGTAGGTTCATGTTATAAACACAAGGTTTCAATTGAGCTATTTTTCAAACCCCTTTTCCTCACCAGGTGTAACCCATGAGAAAAAGGAAATTTCATCTCCAGCAAAATCTTTTTCTATATACTGTGTTCCTTCAGAATGTAAGCGATCATAGCTCTCCACAATTTCCTTTGTAGCTCTTCATAAATTTTGTCTTTTTCTTAGATCTCCTAAAAATTGTTCCATTATCCATTTACTCAAGTTCACTAATTAGGTTATGTGTTTTACTCTGTCATCTTACCTTCAAGCTGTCCTCTGAGTATCAGATTTTCCAAGCATTCTTTCCTCTTTATGTGCCCTAGAAATTTCAACTGTCTCTTCCTGATGTTAAGTATAAGTGTCTTTTTTGTTTCCATTTTCTCTAAAACTTTTACTCATATGTTCGGTCCATGGTATTTTCAGCATCTTTCTGTAGAAATATATATTGGGTAATTGGAGTATTGGACATTGAAAAATGAACCAGTCCACTCAATACATTACTGGACAATTTTTGCTATCTGTAGTTTGCTGTAGATAAAGTTTCCTTCTTATCAAGGATTACACCAGACAAGAGTTGAAAAAATAGATCAGACAAAACCTTATGTTTACAGCAGAAGATATACAAATACAATCAGAACAATGTTGTATATGTTAATGACTCTTGGTTATAGGCAATTCTTACTTCAGTCGATGTTGAAACAACAATTTTTATGAATTTTCAAAAACAATGTCTTTTAGAACACAAGCAATCCAAATATGTATTTCATCAGTTATTTTTAAGACTTCGGTGAAAGAGGTCCGAGTTAAATGTAATCTTTAACAAAAGGTAAAAATATATTAAAATAAAATATAATTTTTACAATTTATTTCCTTTAGAAAATCAAATGAAACCAATTTTTTATCTCTTTCATCTATTCTTTAACTTTGAATAAAGAAATATGTTTTTTCAATACAAATACTTGAAACAATGCCTTTGATCTGACATCTATAGAAAATTATTAACAAATCAAGTCTTATACACCAACTTATCTATTGCATTGGTCAAAATCCCCCATTCCCCCAGATCTTAACCATTTGTAATGCCTTTCCAAGTCCAAATCAAATGAACTATAAACCAAAGATTTAAACTTACAATTTGAATTTACAATTTTTAAAGCAATCAAAATAATTACCTCAAATATATCATTCAAATTTAATGTTAGACAACAGAAAGTTTTACAAATTTAAAAGGATCTACATATTCCACTTATTTTTTAAAAAATAATTTAATAGATTAAAAGAATGAAGAAAATCCATGAATATACTGGCCCAGAATAGCAAGCTACTAGTCAGAACTATGATCACCTGAGCTCAATGGGCATAGTGGCATTCTGAGAGTGGCGTTTAAGTTTTGATATAAAACCAAAAAGAGAAAAGACAATGAAATAGCTGCAATAATTAGAAAAGCCAATATGTCTAGGGTCACTCAGATTTGTTAGTGAGGCAAACAAACACATGGCGATGTGATTTTGGACAAATGATTGACATGCATCTTCTCAATGATCTTCTTCTCCTTCCCACATAGAAACAATCCTACAACTACTATCTCTCATAAAATAAAGTGCATACTACCAAACTGTACAATAAGCTGGGATGATGCCACATTTCTCCAACATAATCAAAGTATAATAAAAATGTTCTAATCTACATTCTGTTAGATAAGAATGCAATAGATTCAACTCAATGAAGTTAGTTGGATTCAACTGCTATACACAACGAATTCTGATATATACACCAAAGTGTCGGGAATAAAAATGTTGCTTTTGAAAAAGCTGAAGCAAATCTTTTTGACTATTAGACCGTGCTGTGTACCCACTCATGTTGTCAGGGTGTGATAAGCTGAGACAGTGTTCCACTGTACATATTTCACTGATCTTTCTTAGCTGCTATAACAAGATAATGTGTTAGTAGTAATATGCCATTCTGACTAACATATACATATTTTTAGTACTTGAAAAACAGTTGTACCTGGAAGCTTGCGAAAACCAGAATTTTAAACATTTTTACAAGTGATTTTAAGTGTTAGTCTACATTTGACATATATAACACTCCACTAATTTCATAAATATTAAACTACAAATTTACTAAATTTGAAAAACTTCTTGTTCAAAAATTGCTTTTTGCTTGGAAAAAGTAAACCTATAATAAGCATATAATAAACTTTACATCCTGGGAATCAGACAAATATTTCACCAATTCCTACATAAATCTTATTAAACTTCATATAAAGAAAGCAATACAAATCAATCTTTATAATTATGTTAACTGAAAAAAAAAAAAAAAACATGAAAAAGTAGAACTTATAGCATGAAAAATTTACAATTTTGAGTAAATAT